CGGCGCTTAACAACTAACAGAAAAGTTGTTAGTTCAAACCCTTCCAGAGGTTCCTCAGGAGGAAGGCCTGAGAGCAACAACAACATCATAAATAAACCAAATATGAAACAACAACACTTTATAGAGTGCAATTCTACTCAGCAACACATGGGTTGTCACAAGAGGGAAGAGACTCCGCTGTTCTGTGTTTGGTTTGGATTTTAGAACAAAAACCAGCAATTCCATGCTCCTTGTTCCAGAGCCTTGCTTCCCACGGACCAGTTTCCACTCTTTTGAGCTGTTTCTTTTAGTATTTACTTCCGCAGCAAGAAATCCGATGCTCAGAATCTGTGGACATCTATGTGGATGTTTGTGTTCATATTTTCGAGACTTTATCACTTTTTTGTGTGTGTTGAATTTCCTGTTTCCTGAAGTAGACCCACGAGATAGCCAGGGCCAGATAAACACTGTCGCAGGGAGATAGGTTTTACACAAAAGTATTTTTTACTTTCTGGGGTATATCTTTTTGCATGTGTTTCCCTTTATAAAAAACATTTTTAGTATGGAATATTTATAAAGTATCTAAAACATGTATGTATCATTTAAAGGAGCCCTAGTGCATTGTGGACTCCTGATATGGCGCCGTAGGATCAGCAATGGACTGCAAACCACAAGGTTGGCAGTTCAAACCCACCAGCTACTCCTCAGAAACCTTACACAAGGTCGCTATGAGTCGGAACTGACTCAAAGAACTCAATAACTACAACAAGTGGCACTGTGGGTTAGGTGTTGAGCTGCTGATAGAAAGGTCAGTGCTTCAAACCCACCAGCGGCTCTGTGGGCGAAAGATGAGGCTGTCTTCTCTTGTAGAGATTTAGTCTTGGAAACACTATATAGCGTCATTGTCGTCAAAATCACCTCAGTGGCAGAGGGTTTGTTGTAGTTATTTTTTTATGTTTTGGTACAGTTTGAAGAGCTATGAAGCAAGTGCCTTTGTAATAAATCACCATCCAGATAAGGAAGTGGAGCATTTCAAGTGCAAAAATGATGTCTGCCCTATGGCCCTCTTCAGAAGCATTAAGCAAGAACATGCTCGAGAGCAGAGATCTTGGCTGAAGCATGCTGTCAAGACCAAACCAAAACAAAGTAACTGGCACAAGTGCCCAGCATGGCACCCCACATACCACTTCATTTCATCCCCACAAGCCCATGCACGAAGTAGGAACGATGGGGTAACCGAGGCTCTATCTACCATGCTTGAAGTCACTTGGCTGGCTGTTGATGGGATCACTCAAAGTTGCCTCATTTCAGCCTATCTAGTTCAAAAAACAAAAATCCTCATGACTGGACCAATAAAAAACATTCTTATCAACAGAGAAAAGATTGAAGTTGTCAAGGACTTCATTCTTCTTGGATCAACTATCATCACTCATGGAAGCAGCAGTCAAGAAATCAAACGACGTATTGCATTAGGCAAATCTGCTGCACAGGAACTTTTTAAAGTGTTGAAGAGCAAAGATGTCAGCTTGAGGACTAAGGTCCAAGCCATGGTATTTTCAATAACCTCATATGCATGTGAAAGCTGGACAGTGAATAAGGAAGACTGTAGAAGAATTGATGCTTTTGAGTTATGATGTTAGAGGAGAATATTGAAGGTGCCATGGGCTGCCAAAAGAACCAATAGATCCGTTTTGGAAGACGTGCAGCCAGAGTGCTCCTTAGAGGCCAGGATGGCCAAACTTCGTCTCTCATACTTGGGACATATTGTCAAGAGGAACCAGTCGCTGGAGAAGGATATCATGTTTGGTAAGGTGGAGGGTCAGAGCAAAAGAGGAAGACCCCCAGTGAGATGGATTGGCAAAGTGTCAGCATCAATGAACTCAAGCATGGCAACAATTGTGAGGTTGGTCCTGGACCGGGCAGTGTTTCGTTTTGTTGCACATTGGGTCGCTATGAGTCGGTAGCCACTCGATTTAAAAGCAATTTAAAAGCAGGAAATTCTGGTGTGTTGCTATGGGATAAAGCACTGGACCGCAAAGTCTTTTTGAACCACAAGGTTGGTGGTTCAAACTCACCAGCTGTTCTTTGGAAACCCTATACAGGGTCGCTATAATTCGGAATTGACTCGATGGCACTTAACAACAACAACAACAATAAAAACAAATCTTAAAGTACTTATTCTTTTCCAACGAACAATTCCACACAAACAATTTAGTCTCTGCACAAATACCATACCTATGGACAAAGCTTCCTGTTTAAAAATATTTATCACAGCAATATTTTTATGGCTCAAAACAGACCATCTAGATGTCTAATAATGGGTTAAAAAATAGCCATTAGAAGGATTATTTATTCATCATTTCATATTAATAACATGACTAACATTTGTTACATTGAATAGAAAATAACAGAAAATAAAATTGTTCATAGAATACAATCACAAATAAAAGTTAAAAACGCAGACTAAAATATACCAAAATGTTTTTTTAAAAAAGAAAGAGAAAGGGAGGGCAGGAGAATGTAAATCATCTATTTTTTTCTTGGACTCTGTTGATGTTCACCTCCCAATGCACTTTTGTCCACATTGCCTGGTAGGGAGGCCAACTGCGGGTGTGACGTGATTTTGTCCTCACGCTCTGTATGTGTGTACTTGTCTGTACACCTTCTCCTCAAAGACTGGGAGTCCCCTGGGTCCAGCGTGGCTTTGAAGGCATACCCAGTCTGCAAAATTGGACTCTCCTTGGTACAGAGGTTTCTCATTTTGCTCTCTTCCCAGTCCCCATTTCCTTCAGAGGTCATAAAAATGAGCTTTGGACATCTAGGGCAATTGGCATAATATTGTTTATAAAACTAATGTTCGACATCCTAGTTTGGTGAATTGTATCTGAAGCCTTAGGGAGTCTTAGGGAAGGTGGTGGCTCTGTATGTTGGCAGTTCAAACCCACTAGTCACTCCTCGGGAGAAAGATGAGCCTTTCTGCTCCCACAAAGATTTACAGCCCCGGAAACTTATACAGGGTCACTGCGAGTCGCAACTGACTTGACAGTACATAATAACAATATCTGGAATGAAAAGCAATGAATCCTCTAAGTTATGTGTAACTATTGATCTCTTCCCTTCTGGTGCAAAGCAGAATGGAGACAATCCAAGATTCAGGAAGTAATTAGTACAAATGCTCAGATGAAACACAGCCTCTTACAATCTGAGATCAGAAGAATTAGATGGTGCTGTGCCACCACTACCAGGAACAGAAGATACCAGTTAGTGTGGGTGAGCAAAATTTAAACTAAAAAAATGACCTACTTATAGGTCTGACAGAGACCGGGGGAGCCTCTGATAGCCTCTCTGACACAGACCAGAATGGAAGCCACTTCCTGGGGCCATGTTACAACCAGATAGTAGACTGGCCTATGAAATAAACAATTAACACCCCAGAAAAAGTGCCCCTTAGAAGAGGTGGCTGTAAGAGACCAAAAGGATAACATCCTCTCAAAAATAAAGATGAGAAGGTATAAGTGGCGGGGAAGTCAGGTGAATGGAAATGCGGAACCTGGAGTAGAAACGCGGACAGTATTGGCACATTGCAGCATTGTAGCCAAAGTCACCCAACAATTTGAAATAGTAAATGGAAAACTTATTTGCCATGTAAACTTTAACCTAAAGTATAATCAAAAAAAAATTTTTTTTAAGTGAACTTTGGGTTTAAGCTCATCTTCAGTTTGGTAGAGGTGGTGGTGTGCCGTGGAGTCGGTTCCGACTCATGGGGACCCTGCACAGGGTTTCTGAGGCTGTAAATCTTTACGGGAACAGAACGCCTCATCTTTCTCCTGCAGAACAGCTGTTAGTTTCAAACTGCTGACCTTGCGGTTTGCAGCCCGATGGTTCAAACCCAGCCAGCAACACCACAAAAGAAAGGTCTGGTGACTAACTTCATTAAAGATGACAGGAAAAAAAACCAACCCTATGAAGCAATTCTATCCTGTAACACATGGGGTTACTATGATTCAACAGTAATGGGGTTTTGTTTTTGTTTTTCAGTTTGGTGGCTCCCCACATCTCTCTCCCTAAATGGCCCAGCCTGGTTCTTAGTCAGGAAATGAATACTGTCTTATGTAACGATCATCACAAAGCTGATTCCTATGAGGTAGAGGCTAAAGATGTCCCAAATGTCCAACTTTTCCAAACTGCTGGACCACTTCAGCATCTTAGCATCAACGACTCCCTCTCCCCTCAGCATTCTCCTCCGGGTCTTTGGGTTTCATCCCTGGAATGTTGAGCAGAACTCACAAACTGCATTTGTAGTGATATAGTTTATTAGGGAAAGAATGGTCCAACCTGAGATTGAGATCAATTTGAAAGTAACAGGACTAACTCAGGATGCATTTCCTCCCTCAGGGCAGCTTCTTCTTGCCTCTGCCGTCAGACACAACTACAACTGTAAGCTCTGTAGGTTAGTAAACTCGGCCACTGGCCCCCCAGACATGTGCCTTCCCTGTTACAGCTCCTTCCTCACCCTGTTTCTTGTGGCAAAACTGACCAATCCACTCCTTTGGATTCCATATGCTTAATTTGCATGGCCCACACCCACAAGCATTTCATGCCCCTTATTAACATCATTGAGTCCTGGTGTGGTGCTGTGGGTTAATGCGCCAGACTGCAAAACCTGTTTGAACTTCAAGGTCAGCGGTTCAAGCTCACCAGATGCTCCTCAGAAACCCTATACAGGGTCGCTATGGGTCAGAACCGACTTGAGGGCACTTAACAACAACAACAATAACATCATTAGCAAGTTATCCAATACCCTTGGTGGGCCCAAAGCACCTCATTTGCATAACCACACCCAGTTAATTGGTGGGAGTTACAAAAACCTAGCTGCAAGAGCCAAGTTAAGTGGATTACTGCTTGGCAGGCAATCTGGTTTAGTAGCTGGGTCCTCAGGCTAGCAGCTGGGACAGCTCTTGGACACACAGACATTGTGGCACCTGTTCCCAGCCTTGGGGGGGGGGGGTGCAGGGCAGGTCTCAGTTGGGCTCTGAGGTGTCTTCCTGGGAGCCTGGCCGATGGCACAGGGCAAGGGTCCTACCCTCGAGGAGCCAGAAGACTGGGTAGAGGGGCTGGGTGAAGATAGCATGGAAGGTGTACAGGTGCTGGATTTGGGGCTCCAGGCTGTAGAAGGCAAGGTGGCCTGAGGCCAGGTCCAAGTCCATGCCCAGGAGCCGCCCAGACACCGCTGGCAGCTTTTTGGCCTCCCCATTGTGCCAGGCCTGGGACCCACCTTCCTGAAGACAGAGGCCCCAGGAGCTGGGCCCGCGGCCAATGTTGTCTATGTGGGTCCCCTGCTTGTTCCGCTCCAGTTCTGGATAGGCAACGCCCAGCGTCACCGAGTGGCTGGAGACACGCACCTCCCAGTAGTGTCGCCCGGCCTGGAAGCTCTCGGTACACTGGACCTGCCACAGGTCAAAGCTGTTGGGGCTGGCCTGGTCCCGTGGCTCACGGCGGTGCCTGACCTTCCGGTTCTGGCAAGACAGGTGGAGGTGCCGGTTGGCACTGTCCGGGTCGAAGGTCAAATTGCGATAATCTGTGGGTGGGAAGGAAGGTGGTGGGTAGTAGGGGATGGGAGCAGCTGTCATTCACACGGTGCTAACCAGCCTCTAGCACATGGCACGCTGAGTACTGGCTGCCAGGCAGCACTGGCTCGCATGCAACCTTAGGGGCAGCATCTTCTAGATCCAAACAGGTGTGTAGGGGAGTGGGACCAGACCCAGAAAAGGGACAGGGAACAGATCTCCCGGACAGACACAGTCAGCATGAGACAAAGTATGCACAGACTCACACACATATGCACATGTACCTTCTTACATGACACACCACACACATGTGCACATACAATGCACCAGTGTGTGCAAACACATGCACAAACCACACACACACATGTACACACACTCCTTGTATGTGTATGTGCACATACAATGCACCAGTGTGTGCAAACACATGCACAAACCCCCCACACACATGTACACACACTCCTTGTATAATGCACAGACGTGCACACACATGTATCTACACGTGCTCCTTCCACGGTGCATATGTGTGTGTGCTATAAACATGTCTGTATGTGTGTATGGGGCATATGCATTCAATATAATGTACATGTGTGCGCACGCATACACGGCTTCACACACGTGTGTGTACCGCATACATGCACACACATGTACACACACTGGAGCCCACACAATGCACACATGTTGCACACACATGGTCACATGAACGTGCCCACACATAGGATGTCCTTACTCTGCCAGAGATCTCTCCTTAGTGGACACACTGGGCTTGGAACTGGTGCCACAGGAACTGGAGCCTCTAGGGAACAAATTAACTGTCCCAGTGTCACCCCTACTGGGAAGGAAGCAGAGGGGAAGGCAGAGATCTTGGGTGCCGTACCCATGGGGCCCAAGTCAGCAGCCTCGGCCGGCACCCTTGGATGGGCCCCCTCTTCCAGCACGAGATCATCCAGTTGGCTCAGCAGTTTCTTCAGGTCTCCCAGCTGCTGGTCTTCATTCCACTGCAGAGGGGTCAGCGGCCTGAGGGGCTCTGGGGGTGCCAGCAGCTGTGACTCCTGAACCCCAGAGACAGCTGCAGTCAGCCAGGGAGCCAAGGGCAGGGAGCCACGCCTCCATCCACCAGTCCACAGCCACTACCTGGAGGAAGGTCCTATCATCCGGCTGCCCCAGAAGGTTCTGGACTTTACAGTCATGGCGTGCCAGGGCCTCCAGGTGGTCCTGCAGCTGCTGCTCCCCAACCTGGGCCTTCACCAGCTGTTCGGTCTTGGCTTCTTCAATAGCCTTCAGTGCCGAGGCCTGCCGAGTCTCCAGGGCCCGCAGAAGGCAGCTGAACTTGCTGGAGACCATGGAGGCCAGGTTACAGGCCGAGCTCTGGGGACACAGGAAGAGCCTGTATGGTCAGGGGCCGGCTGCCCACTGGCTGGGGATGCTGGGAGTCTGGGCCCTCACAATCTCTTCCCTGGGGTCTGGCTTCTGCTCAGGGAGCATTTACAAGCTGGCTCACACTGACTGCCCAGTGTCCCAGGGGACAATCGGTGGTAGCTGCCCCGAGAATACAGTGTGTGGATGTGGCGGGCAGACCAAGGTCAGGTCCTGTACCTGGATCTGGCTGCTTCGTTGCTGCAGCTTCTGTAGTTCAGCCTTGGCCCGGGCAGCCTGTTGCACCGTTGTCTCTAGCGTGGCTTTCAGCTGGGCCTGAAGTGAAGAGATTGTTACCACTCACAGATGTGCATGCTCCCCTCCCCATGCATCTAGACAGACAGCTCTGGTGCAACCTGGGAAAGACCTGACTCCCAGCCTCACCTGTGCCTTGTGCACTGTGCCAACTCTGAAGGTCTGTTTTCTGTCTGCCTTTTACTCAATGTGCCTTCAGTGTGGGCACTTCAACCACGGTTTCCTCCTGGAACCCTGTGCCACGCCACCTCCTCCTAGCTCATCGGAGGGCCTTCTGCTTCAATGGCTGGTTGGGCCTCCTCTCTCATCCCTCCACAGTGACCTACCCCTTCCTAGGAATTTTCTACCCTCTGAATGCTAATGAGGAGCCTTGGTGGAGTAGTGGGTTCAACATTGGTTTGCTAACCACAGGATCAGTGGTTTCAACGCACTTGTCACTCACTGCATGGGAGGAAGATGAGACTGTCCACTGCCATGAAGGTTTACAGTCTCAGAACCCTTAAGGCGCAGTTCTGCTCTGTCTTGGAGGGTCACTATCAGTGAGAAGGGACTAGCCAGTGGCAGCTTTAAAAATATGGTAATGGTGGTTAAAACACTCAGAGGTTAAACAAAAGGTCAGTGGTTCAAACCCACCAGCCGCTCCATGGGAGAACAATGCGGCAGTAGGCTTTCTTAAAGATTACAGCCCTGTAAACCCTATGTCTTCATGTCCTACAGGGTAACTCCTCACATGTCTGTAAGCTTATCACACTGTAGTGACCTGCATGTCGCTATGATGCTAGAAACGATGTCACTGGTGTTTTAAATACCAGCAGGTTTCAGCACAACTTCCAGACTAAAAACAGACTGCGATTAAGTGTCGTCAAGTCGATTCTGACTCATAGCGACCCTGTATAGGGTTTCTGAGGAGCAGCTGGCGGATTTGAACCACCAACCTTGTGGCTCGCAGTCCAGTGCTGAACCTACAGCGTCACACTAGGAGCCCAAGAACAGACTGTTGTTGTTGTTGTTGTTAAGTGCCATCGAGTGGGTTCCGACCCATAGCGACCCTGTACAGGGTTTCCGAGGGTGTAAATCTTTACGGGAGTAGAAAGCCTCATCTTTCTCCCGCGAAGCCTAGGAAGTTAAAACTGATGCTCTATTTCTGAGGGATTAGCCACTGAAAACTTCATCAATAGCAATGGAACCTGTCTGATACCGTGCTGGAAGATGAGCCCCTCAGGTTGGAAGGTACTCAAAATACAATTGGAAAAAGGCTGCCTTCTCAAAGCAGTTGACCTGAATGACATGGATAGAACAAAGTCCACAGGACTTTCATTTGCTGATGGGGCACAACTATAATGAGAAGAAACAGCTGCAAATATCCACTGATAATTGGAATGTGAAATGTATGAAATATGAATCTATTTGGACAATTGGAAGTTGGCAAAAATGGAATGCATAGAAATCTGTATCCTAGGCATTTGTGCCTAAAATGGACAGGTATTGGCCATTTGAATGGGACAATCATGGTTTACTATGCTGGGCATGACAAATTCAAGAGGCATTGTGTCACATTCATCGTCAAAAAGAACATTTCAAGATCTATCTTGAAATACAAGATAGATCTGTATTAATATCCATACACCTACAAGGAAGACCAGTTAATACAACTTTTATTCAAATTCACATACCAATCACCAAAGCCAGTGATGAAGAACTTGAAGAATTCTACCAACTTCTGCAATGATGCACTGATAATTATTAGTGATTGAAACGTGAAAGTTGGAAGCCAAGAGAAGGGATGGCAGTTGGAAAATATGGCCTTGGTTATAGAAAATGACACTGGAGATTGCATGATGGAATCTTATAAGACCAATGACGTAATTCATTGCAAACATCTTTTTTCAATGACATAAGCAGCAACTGTACATGTGAACCTCAGAGACAAAATACACAGGAATGAAATTAACTTAAATCTATCTGTGGGAAGAAACGATGGAGAAGTTCAATATCATCAGCCAAAATAAGACCAGGGGCCAACTATGGAACAGACCACCAATTGCTCATATGAAATTTTAGGCTGAAGTGGAAGAAAATTAAAACAAATCCATGAGAGACAAAATATGACCTTGAGTATATCCCAACTGAATTTAGAGACCACCCAAGAACAGATCTGATGCAATTCACACTAATAACTGAAGACAAGATATGGATGACATCAAGAACATAATTTATAGTGAAAACAAAAAGTCATTTAAAAGACAAAAAAGAAAAAAACCCAAAGTGGATGTGAGCAGACACTCTAAAACTTGTTCTTGCATGTAGAGAAGCTAAAGTGAGTGGAAGAAATGATGAAGTAAAAGAACTGAACATAAAAATTTAAAGGCCAGTTCAAAAAGAAAAAGTCAAGTGTTATAATGAAATATGCAAAGGCCCGGAGTTAGAAAACCAAAAGGGAAGAACACATTCAGGCTTGACTTGAAATACTGACAGATTCTATGGGCAAAAATGGGAAAACAATTAAAGTTGTTAGGGTTTCATTTTATTTGGATCCCCAATCAATGCTCATGGAAGCAGCAGTCAGGAAATGAAACAATGTATTACATTGGGCAAATCTGTTGCACAAGACCTCTTTAAAGCGCTAAAGAGCAAAGATGTCTATCACTTTAAGGACTAAAGTGTGCCTAACCCAAGCCGTGGTATTTTCTATCACCTCATACACATGTGGAAGCGAATGATGCACTGGAATTATGGTACTGGTGAAGAATACTGAAAGTGCCATGAACTGCTAGAAGAATAAACAAATCTGTCTTGGAAGAAGTACAGTCAGAACGCCCTTTGAAAATGAGATGGTAAAACATTGTCTCATACACTTTGGATGTACCTTGGAGAAGAAGACATCAGGCTTAGTAAAGTCGAGGGGTCAGTGAAAAGGAGGAAGACCTCAACAGATGGCTGTCACAATAGGCCCAAACTGAACAGTTATGAGGATAGTGTAGGCCTGGGGTGGTGTTGCGTTCTGTCGTACACGGGGTTGCTATGAGTTAGAATCGACCCTTGGGAGTTGTGTTTGGTTTATTAGCTAACGAACCCATGTTTCTACTCCCAGCTCTAGACTTAGATGCCTGCAACCTCTTGCTTGTCCCCAGGTACCTCCAGCCCCAAGCTCTCCCAAACCTTTATTCTCTCCCTGCATTTATCACACACAGCACTTGAGTCTAGGGTTCCCTGATCTGCCTTCGCAGCCACCCACCCATGTCTGCTTCATCCTGTTTGCACTACATCCACAAGGTGTAGTGAATCCAACTGTTATTTTCATCTCTACTTGATCACACTAAGGAGCTCTAGTGACACTATACAATAAGCACTGGACTGCTAACTGCAAGGTCTGTGGTTCAAACCCATCAGCTGCTCCTTGAAGAAAGCATAACGCGGCTGTCTGCTCCTGGGTAGACTGATAGTCTTGGCAATCCTATAGAAGGTCACTCACTATAAGTCAGAATAAACTAGATGGCAGTCGGTGGATCCCATCACCCTGGCTCCAGCCAGCCCATCTCCCTGCATTCCTGCCATGGATGTCTACCTAAACTCAGGACCTCACCTTCTACCCCTGCCATCCGGGCTCCACATGCCACCCTGGCTGATCAGTCCTGTTATAAAGCCTGCCCTGCCAAGAGCCTGAAGTGTCTTCTCGCTGCCCTCAGGGACGCTGAGGGCTTCTGCTGGTTCCCACCACCCCTGCCTTGAGTCACAGCAATCTGCCTCCTATGACCAGGTTGTTTTCCACTCTGAAGTTTGTCCCCAGCGAGTCCTTTACCCGGAAAGCTCTTCCCTGGTCCTGCTCTGGGTGGCACTTTCTGAGCCTTTAGGTGCCAGCTAAAACACCACTCTAAATAAGGACCTATATTGTCTGTATAGCAGCTTCCCTCACTGCAGTCTGCAGTAACACACTATTGTCTTTCCTGGGGCTTGTCTGACCCTTTAGGTGGGAGCAGGGGTTTCCTGTGTTTCCTGGATATGTAGTAGGTGCTCAGTAAACAGCCACTGACTGACTGTTTGCTAAGCTCCTGTCATAGTCAGGCAGGAGATGTGTATACCCTAGCAGACACGACTGTCGATTTTCCCAGTTAGCCCGCAGTTTGGGGGAGTCACCCCACCCTCTCGCCCTGCGGCGGTGGCGTCACCTCGCGCTCCTGGCGCTCGTCTTCCAGCAGCGCAAGCTCATGGAGGCGACACTCGAACACGGTGCAGGCGCTGCACACGCAGATGCCCTCGGTGCGACAGAACAAGTCAAGCGGCCGGCCGTGGCGGGGACAGCACGCGGCGGGTCCCAGCTCGGTTAGGGCTCCGGGCTGGGCGCCGGGTCGGGGCTTGGGTTCCCACTTGGCGGCTTGCACCAGCTCCACCACGTTGCTCAGGGCCACGTTCCGGCGCAGCGCGGCGCAGTCGGGGACGAGCTCGCGGCACTCCGGGCATTCTCGCCCGAGGCGCGTCACCGAGTCCTTGATGCAAACCCCGCAAAAGTTGTGGCCGCAGGGCAGCGTCACCGGGTCGCGGTAGAGCCCCAGGCAGATGGCACAGGTCAGCTTCTCCTCGAAGATTTCAGCGGCCATGACGACGACAGAAAGCACGAGGAAGTGCAGCTTCCGGCCCTTAAAGGGACCGCGGGCGGCTGGTGGGGAGGAGCCTTGGGACAGTCCGGGCTGGCCTCCGATGACCCGAGGTACAGCAACCGTCACACTAGGGGCTCGGGCTGCAGCGCGCCGCACCCACCCCAGCCAGCCTAGCCAGCTTCGGCTCTAGGCAGACTGGGTGCTGGGGTTGGCCTCTCGCTGTCCGGCCCTGGCATCCGCACCCCTATCTAGGACCCTCAGCGGACCAACCTCTCCTGGCGCCTCATCCGTATGGGAATTGTCGTTCCCATCTCCCAGCACTTGGGGGATTCGATGAAACTGATAAGCGCTCAGGGCACACAGTTGTTGTTAAGTGCTGTCCAGTCGATTCCGATCCGTAGCGGCCCTGTATCGGGTTTCCAAGGAGGGAGCTGCTGGTGAGCTTGAACCGTGGGCCTTGCAGTTCAAACGACTTTGCAGTCTGACGCATTAGCCCACAGCGCCACCCCAGGGCACACAGTGGATACTCCATAAGGCAGCCTTTTCTGGAGTTGGGCTTCACATCCTTGCCAAGGTTGGGGTGCCTTCCTTCCTTGGTCTGTGCTTGATTTGGGTTCTTTTCAACAGTGAGATGGAAATTCCTGGTCACCAACGTAAAACAGTCCAGTGCCTCTCTGATACCCAAAGCAACTGACTGCAGAGTCCTCCTTGCTCTGGTACCTGTGTCAGGAGAGTTCATTGTCTGGAGGGCCAATCTGTTCTGGAACCCCACATGTCAGAGGGGTGTCTCAGCGATTCCCTTGCAGCTGAACAGAGAGGAGGAGTCCTGAGTACTTGCCCACCGTTTATCTGGGCAGTGAGTGTGGTGAACTGAAAAACCGTCAGCAATGTGCTGGTGGGTTGTGAGTTCTTTCAGCCATGCAGCAAGCATATGCCTACTGTCTTGTAATATGAGAAGTTTCTTTCTGGAGGAGGTGCAGGAACCTCACCTTGATGTGTATACCCAAAAAAAGCAAATGCTAACTGTGAAGAATGGATCCAAGGCTTTCTCACCTAAGCAGTGAATTGGCATATAGGACCTGGATCTGTTGTTGCCCTCGCATCCCACCCATCTCCAGCCCCGGATGCCAGACAACAGCTGACTCCTCTGAGCCATAGCTCAGGAAAAGTATGTGGAGGTCACACAATCCAGTTTTAAAAAAAAATATTTTATTGTGAATTATGTGATAGTTTACATGGGAGATAGTTTACTTGAGTGCCACTATCGAAAAAGCAAGTAGTAGTGATGAATAATCCTCCCTCAGGCCCACCACGCAGAGATTACCTCAAATCCTCACCAGCATCTGCCCCTTGACCTCAGTATGTGAGCTTGTGGAGTTTCCCCACCCCAAAATTACCCTGAAAGGCCCTCTCTCCACTGGACCAAGGAAGAAACGAAGATCACAGGACCATGCAACTTGGCAAAGGTAGTCAGGCAGGCAACAAACAGCAGAACTCGGACATGGCCCTGTTCCCAGCTACTCACAAGGAGCTCTGATAGCGCACTGGTTATGAGTCAGGCGGCTAATCTCACCATCAGCAGTTTGAGACTACCAGTAGTTCCTTGGGAGAAAGATGAGGCATTCTGCTCCCGTAAAGATTTTTTTTTCTTAAATGTTTTATTGTGAATTATGTGATAGTTTACATGGGAGAACATTAGTTTTACATTCATTCTATCGTATATTGTATCATTGCCATGGTTACAATCCCCTCCATGCA